TTTCGAAGCCAAATTTTTGGCGACGCTTTTTTTTAAATAAAATTGAATATTTTTCAAGTAAAATTTTATTTTAAGCGCCGCAGACGAAAAATTTTAAAATTTTGAAAGGCCGTAGGCCAAAAAATTCACCATCTTGCTCCATTGCCTACCCAAATTGTCTCCATATCTCCATTTCGAGAGGAAGGCGATATAAGCTAGTGCTTCGCCGGAAGTTCCGGTTCCAGTATTTCCGCAACTCGCAATCCGCAATTTTTAAATTATGATGCGAGTCCGGTAATAGAATTTGTCGTCGATTAAGTAATATGTATATGTGGATTAGGGAGTGGAGTATAAACGGATTTGTAGTATATAAGTAATTGCTATCTTCCTTTTTCAGCGCCGCAGGCGAAAATTTTGACAATTTGGGAAAGCCAAGAAGCCGAAATTCTTTTTTTTTCAGCGCCGCAGGCGAAAATTTTTTAAATTTTCAATAAAAGATGGTAAATTTTATAGATTTTGGCCTTAGTTTAGGCTTAAAAAATTGTTTCGTTTCGTTGAAAAATCACAGGTGTTTCGTAACGAAACGAAACGAAACAAATTTAAAAGTGTTTCGTAACGAAACGAGACGAAACAGTAAAAATCATACGAAACATACGAAACAACGAAACGAAACGAAACGTTTCGCCCACGTCTGGAGGGGACCAGACGTGGGCGAAACGTTTCGTTTCGTTTCGTTGTTTCGTATGTTTCGTATGATTTTTACTGTTTCGTCTCGTTTCGTTACGAAACACTTTTAAATTTGTTTCGTTTCGTTTCGTTACGAAACACCTGTGATTTTTCAACGAAACGAAACAATTTTTTAAGCCTAAACTAAGGCCAAAATCTATAAAATTTACCATCTTTTATTGAAAATTTAAAAAATTTTCGCCTGCGGCGCTGAAAAAAAAAGAATTTCGGCTTCTTGGCTTTCCCAAATTGTCAAAATTTTCGCCTGCGGCGCTGAAAAAGGAAGATAGCAATTACTTATATACTACAAATCCGTTTATACTCCACTCCCTAATCCACATATACATATTACTTAATCGACGACAAATTCTATTACCGGACTCGCATCATAATTTAAAAATTGCGGATTGCGAGTTGCGGAAATACTGGAACCGGAACTTCCGGCGAAGCACTAGCTTATATCGCCTTCCTCTCGAAATGGAGATATGGAGACAATTTGGGTAGGCAATGGAGCAAGATGGTGAATTTTTTGGCCTACGGCCTTTCAAAATTTTAAAATTTTTCGTCTGCGGCGCTTAAAATAAAATTTTACTTGAAAAATATTCAATTTTATTTAAAAAAAAGCGTCGCCAAAAATTTGGCTTCGAAAATGATTGACCCCCCCCCCCTTCCCCGAAAATTTTCCTTGCTACGGGCCTGGCTTATGGGACACAATTGTTGTAAATAAACCAATAACTAAATCATTTATAAGTCATAGTCGACTAATAACGTATTTGAGGTCGAATAATTTCGAAATAAATGCAGTTTTGAAAATTTTTTGAATATTAAAATGTTTCGTTTTGTTTCGTTTCGTTTCGTAAGATTTTGGTTGTTTCGTTTCGTTTCGTTAACGAAACGATTTTTAAAAAATTTTGTTTCGTTTCGTTTCGTCAGAAAAAAATTTTGAGTTTCGCCCAGGTCTGGTCCCCTCTATGGTTTTTCGATTTTTAAGTACCTATATCTCGGCTCGTAGGAATTTCCGCAAAAAAAGAATGGTACCATTCGACTCAGCTCGCCGAGACGAATCGAATGGTACATATTTTGACCCGTTTCTGAGTGGGCCACCGGCTAAAGTACAGCCTTAATTTTCGTTATTTATTCCAAAAAAAAACAGAAGTAACTGTCCTTCCGTCTTCCATTTTTAAACTCCGCTTTATTCTCGTCTAACTTTTTTGGTCCTTTCATTTACAATTTTAGAAATTTTTTAATTAATATTCCTATAGCGGAAAATTTAATTAACAGTAAACAAGAGCTGTGCTATATCTATTTCTCTCCTTCAGCTAGTGCAAAATTGGAAGCAGGCCAAAGTACCGCAAGCCCAAGGTACCGCAAGCCCAAGGTACGACAGAGCTATAAGTCGTTCAAGATTGTCGAATTCGAGACGCCCCAGTATTCGGGCCCCCACTGAATCGTTTTACTTAACTTTCAATGTGGGGCCTACTTGATTGTTCAAAAGAAACAATCAAGAGAACAATCAACCTCTAGAAGGCCACTCTATTAGGCCACTAAAAGGCCACTCTATTAACGACCGCCGTTCAAATAGAGACGCCGCTTAATTAGAGAGAGCACGGTATACTGCTGTCAAAAAAGGAAGGAATTTTAATTAGTGATCGGCACGGGACGGGATCCCGTTCGGGATTTTGCGGGATCCCGTCCCGAAATCCCGATTTTTAAGCGACGAACGGGATTATCGGGATTTACGGGATTAATCCCGCGGGATCCCGTCCCGAAGAAATTTTTGAAAAAAATCCCGTTACGGGGTCCCGTGAATTTTTTCTCAATTTACGGGATTTTTAATATTGTTGTAAATTGCTCATCTGCCCTTACAAAATTCGAAAAATTTTCGCCTGCGGCGCTGAAAAGGGAAGAAATCTGGCTGTTTGAGCTTCAAAATTCTGAAAATTTTCGCCTGCGGCGCGTTAAAAATATATCGTAGTACTTCGTTAAAAAATATCGTAGTAGAAATAGAGAGATCTGGCGGAATCTTAGGCCAAATCATTCGACGGAGATATCGAGGGATTTAGGTGGAGGGATTTAGGTGGATCACTCCAACTTTCCTTGATCTAATGATCCCCTTAATCCTCCTAATTCGGCTTATCCCCAAATCTCCTTAAATCCTCGGATATCACTCAAAATCCTCTTATAACCGAGATATCACAATAGATATCCCCAGATATACTTTTAAATGACTTAAAATCTTCAAATCCACTCATCTCCCCGATATTTATTACGTAAAAAATTTTTAGGTGAAAATCCCGAAATCCCGCGGGATCCCGCAAAATTTTAGAACGGGATTATCGGGATTACGGGATTTACGGGATTAATCCCGCGGGATCCCGTCCCGTAAAAAATTTTGAAAAAAATCCCGTTACGGGATCCTGTGAATGCGATTTTGCCGCACAATAATTTTAATGTATTCTATTGACAGAATGCCAAAGGGTTTATAACACCGACGAGACTTAATGAGACCCTAGCAATTAATGAAAAATTAAAAATGTTCTATCTTTATCCATTAAATGAGGGGTTATTTATATGCTAAAAATTTCCACTTATTCAGTATATAAAATTCTAACTACATACTACATATAATTCAAATTTAAAAAATTAATATCCCTCAACATGCCATTTGTCCCAATTTTTGGGCGTCGATATATTTTGGGCGTCGACATACGTCGACATATACTGTCTTTTTTGAAATGCTGTCCCGGATATTCTAATTTCAACCATCCTTCAAGGGAATTAATTTAAGAGGAGTGGGCTATTCAAGAAATACGGTAACATGCCAGAAAATTCCCCTAAAAATTTTTTTGAAATAAATAAAAGATAATCACCCAAATTAAAAAAAGTGAATTGCCATTACATATAAAAATATTTTTTCACCGGAATTCTTTTGGATTTTTAAATATAAAAGGATTTACTTTACTATCTTGTTCATTGATAATTAATGCCAAGATTTTTGTTGTTTTTTTTTCTGGCTGGGAAACCGAAATAAACTAGATATACCTACCTAACTTTTTATTTAAAAAGTGCTTTGTAAACATAAGCAACATTCCCCATCCCTTTTTACATTTACAAACATTCTACCTCTCTCAAATAATTACTCCCTTCCTATTAACCACCTCTTCCAAGTAATTACTCCCTTACCCCTTCAGCCAGAGATTCAAACAGTAATTACCCAGGGTAATTGTTTGAGTAAATACGGTATATCCTTCAATAGCCATAAAATTTTTTTTAAATTTTTTATAAAATTCCGTGGCAAACCAAAAATCTGTCGGCGCCAAGACAACCCCTTTTACCGATTTATAAAATAAATTTTATTTCCTTCTCTGATTTACGTCAATTCCCCATTTTCTTTGTCTTTAATTTTTTTTCAATGCCTTTCTTTGTCTAAAAATTTTTAAAGAATAATTTTTTAAAAATTATACACAAATTTTAATAAAAATCAATGGCAAATTATAAAATTATTTTTAAAAATTACATTAAGCGTTTTAAATTTGTTTCCCACAATTAAAACATTCGGTGGTAGATGCTCGGGGGTAGGAGTTCTTAAAAAATAATCTAGGTGTCCTCTAAAGTTTATGATCCCAAAAATATAAAAAAGTGTCCTTTTTCTGTTCCCAGCTTTTTTTTGATGGAGAAACTGAGAAAAGTTTTAAAACTAAAAAATTAATTTTACGCAAGAAAAAAATCAAATTTACCGTATTTCCTCTAAAATAGGCCCCCCTTTAAAATAGGCCCCCTGTAGAGGTTGATCGAAAAAAATAAGCCACGGAGCTTGTTTTAGAGGAAATACGGTATTGTAAAATTCCATCTTTAAATGTTTAAAAATGTTCCGGTTTAACTTAGATCGAACGAATTGAACCAGAACCATGCAGGAAAAGCAGAATCGGAAATAAAAATCCTAACAAAAATCCCACAAAGTTCTTTTAATCATAAATAAAATTTTGGACAACTAGTAAGGAATCAATCTTTACACAATCAAAGAAGTTTGAATCCCTTTTCCTTCTATAAATGGAGAATAATAAACCTTATGAGAACATATTTTTATGTACCACTGAATTCTAAGACCATGGGTGTTCAGGGAAAAATAGGAAAAAGCATTAAATCCAGGCTTTATTTAAAAGTTCCATCTCCTATGCCTCATTTTTAAAATTTTATTTCTTTTACCTCTCTTAAAAACAAAATCTCCAAAAAATATTTTTATAGGACAAAAATTCAAGAAACCTTAAAACACTATTTTATTAATCAAATAAAAAGTCTCGTGGTCGCAGAGATTCGAACTCTGGCGGGGAAACCCCATTGGATAACAACAACAAAGTAGCAGTCCAACGCCTTAACCACTCGGCCACGACCACCACACCTTCTTTTCTCTTTTATTTTATTAAATACTAAAACTGTATTTAATAATTTTAAAGCAATTTTCCAGAAAAGAATTTAATACTTGAATGAGGAGATTTCAAAGATTTTTAATTTATGGGCATTCTTTTCAACATTTCAAGTTTTAGAAAATAAGCAAAGGTGTTGTTTATTCATCTCGATCCCAGAAAGAACAAAAGATTGGATTTATCTCCTCTGAAGGGTATCCGAGAGACAAGGGGTCTTAACTCTTCCCCACAGACTAGTAATTTATGTTTTATCCTTATGAGAGAACATTCTTCGATATTAACACAGAAAATTTGAAATTTGATGGAATTATTAAAGAAAGAGTTTGCAAAAGTTTAGCCGCCGGGTAGTATTCGAACCTGCGACCTCCTTGCAATTATTGCTAGGCGCTTTTGCTCACCATATACAGGAGCTCTACCACAGAGCTACCGGGGCATCGACTAATGCTTTCTCTTTTTCCTTTTAGATCGTTTAACTCTCTTTAACATCTCCATAAATCTATGGAAAACCCGGAACTGCCATAAAAATAAAGTTTTCATTAAGAAACAATTTTTTGATTTTCAATAAAAACAAATTTACCCAAAAGTTTATGAAATAATTTAAAAAAATATTCACAAAAAAATAGTTAAACAGGAGAATTTTAAAACATAGAAAGCGGAAGATGGAAGGAAGTTCAACACTTGTAAATAATTTTAAATATAATTTAAATACATATGGGCGGGATAAATAAAAAAAAGAGAGAGGAAATGCACAACAAAAAAATTTTACAAGCTCATAATACAAAATAAACAAAAATTTTAAAATTTTGAATTTCTTAAAAACCCCAAACAATTTTTAGAGCATTGTAAACAAAAAAATTGTGCAAAACCTGTTGTTTAGTAAAGGAAAGACCGGACTCGACATACTTTACATTTATTATCAGGGCTGGGATCAAAATAAAAACTAAAAATCATCGGATAGAAAAATCTCCTAACGATATTTTTGTCAGATAGGTATATGGTATAAGTCCGATCTCTAATGTAAAGGGATAATTACGTTTTAAATTGAATAAAAATTAAATAGAATTGAAAGGTCACTCAGGAAGAGAGTACACTAAGTTTTGCCGGAACCGCGAATTTGGCCGGACCGGGAACCGGAACACTACAATCAAACCGGAACCAAAAAATCCCGGAACTTCCGGCCTACCAGGACCTGAACCGGAACTTCAAGCGAAACATTAGAGTACACTCTCAATTTAAATAACTATCACTTTTAAATACAAACTAGTGCTGTTAACGACCGATTTTTAAATTTAAAATTTTAATATTTCTTTTCAAAAATTAGCCGTGTTTATAAAAATTTAAAAACCAATTAAAAACTCGTGATTCCCTAGAAATTCCTTCAAAATAAACCCGGTATTTAACTAAACACTAATCAGAAAACAGGTGTTTTAAAATTTAAATTAACCCAAAACTGGGAGTACCGGTTAATAATCGGTAGTGAACAACCCTAATACGAGCCATAAAAAATATTGTGGATAGTTATAACAGAATGAAATATTTAAACTTTTCCCCCAAGTCTAGAATCCTCAATTGTCTGAATCCGGGTGTTCATTTAAATTTATCGGTTTCTCATTCAAATTAAATCCCCCATTGTTTCGTGCTTTCTTCTTTTTTGCATCTTTGGAAGTCTTTTGATAATTACTACCTTTATAACGACCATTATTTAAATGATATTTTTCATTTCCTTCTGTGAAGTTTAAAATTTTAAGGTTTTCAAAAAAAAATTGAATTTTTAAAATCATTGTTGAAGAGTTATAATTAGGAATGGGGGACATAATCCCAATCTTTAAGATAAGGTTTTACTCCATAAGCTTTTCTATTTCCTAAAATATATGAAAACATCCGGTTGTGTTTAAGATTTTAGTAGTACCCAGCGCCGGACCGGATCCGGCCGGATTTTTCAGGAGTCCGGGTCCAAATCCGAGTTTTTTAGATTTCCGGACTGAAATCTGACCGGATTACTCCGGAAAAATTCGGCCGGATCCGGTAAGGTTCAAGTTGCAAATCCGGAATCCGGATTCGGGTCCGGCAAAATCGATTTTACCGTGCACTAATTTTCAGGTCTAAAATTTACCCTATAAATCTAATCTTTACATACCATGATAGTTGTTCTGATTCAGTAAATGAGAATCTGTAAATTAAAAAAAATTTTATTTGGAATTGATATAATTTTGGTTGTTTTTACTCCTCTCGATATGCCCCTTAAACTGGGTGCCGGAATTTTGGTCACCGGAATTTTGGTCACCACGATTTTTCGGAACTTTGGTCACCAATTTTTTTGGAATTTTGGTCACCAGCGGAATTTTGGTCACCAAATCAAAAAACGGAATATTGGGCACTGAAATTTTGGTCACCAATAGGAATTTTGGTCACCAAACGGAAAAAAGGATCTTATCTAAAAGTGGTATCAAAGTGATAAGAAAATGATTTTTCAACCCCCATTTGATCAATTTCAATGTTTGTCACTTTCCCGGCTGATCAATCTCTCATTTGATCACTCTCGATCACTCTCACGGATGATTGATTAACTGTGAGAGCGATCAACATTGAAATTGATCAACTGGACGTTGAAAAACAATTTTATATCACTTTGATATCAGTTTTAGATAAGATCCTTTTTTTCCGTTTGGTGACCAAAATTCCTATTGGTGACCAAAATTTCAGTGCCCAATATTCCGTTTTTTGATTTGGTGACCAAAATTCCGCTGGTGACCAAAATTCCAAAAAAATTGGTGACCAAAGTTCCGAAAAATCTTGGTGACCAAAATTCCGGTGACCAGAATTCCATACACCCTTAAACTACCCTCGATCTCTCGCCTAAATTCCTCAATATTCCCTTTAATCCCTCCAACTAACACAAATACCCCATTTAATCCTATTAAATTAAACTGTTAAATTAGATTAGCAAATTTTGAAAAAATTTTTAAATTTTAGCGCCACAACGAAAATTTTAATTCTGAACAAGTTTAAAAATTATCGGAAAGGAAAAATGCCCGATATGCTTTTACTAACAAATATACTTTATGATTAGATCAAAGGGTAGTAATTCTTCGGTTTAGACCTCCCCCCCACTATTTTACCGTATCCCTAACCATTTTGATAATTTAGCACATATCATTCGAAAAAGCTCTTCGAGCTTGATAGAATGATACCAATATCGGATAGATTCGGTAATATTTGACAAAATTAAGAAGCTTGATCATCTCTGTGAAAGCCTTTTGTTCCTCTGAAAGGGATTAAAACAAGCGTCATAACTTTTTTCAGTAACGTAAAATTTCGTTTATTTTAGTTTCATTCGACTCAGCTCGAAAAGCCCTTTGGAATGATATATAATAACAAGATAAAAATGCCGGAAAAGGATTCAGAAAAATGGTGCGGTATCTCTTACTGATCAAAGTAATGAACATTGTCCCATTTTAGCCCACAAATGTCGAGAGCAACCAAAATTTTAATAAAATTAAAATTACTAACATTTTTGAGCTTCAGCTTCTTGAGTTTTTCTCATTATTTCTGCAAATTTGTGAGGATCTAATCCTTCAGAAGAATAAACAAAATAAAATGAAATGAAGAACAAAAAAATTGAGAAATAATTCATTTTTATGGGGAGGATTTTTTAAAAATAATTTTTTGTTTAAAATATAAAATTTCATTTGTTGGCCAAAAAGGGCCAGAAAGTTAAAAAAATATTAAAATTAAACTTTTATTAACCAAGTAAAAAGTCCGTGGTCGCAGAGATTCGAACTCTGGCGGGGAAACCCCATTGGATAACGACAATAAAGTAGCAGTCCAACGCCTTAACCACTCGGCCACGACCACCACAACCGTCAGTCTCTTTTATTTTATTAAATACTAAAAAAGAATTGAAGAGACTTTCTAGTTTGGTGACTTTCCATTTATAAAAAATACATTTATGTACAAAATTATTCAAGTTCCTGAAGACTGTCCAAAGCAAGCAAGCAGTAACTCTTCACACAGAGTTACTGCCCGGCCAATTAAAGAAAAATTTAAAAATGAATGAGAGAATATTATTTAAGGATTAAAGCCTTTGATTATAAAGGGTCTGGGGAAATAATATTGTCAATATAAAGTAGCAAGAGGGAGGGAAATGTTTATCCCCTAGTAGCTCAGTTTATCCCCTTGTAGCTCAATCTACTGATCTGTAGTTCAGTGAGCCACTGGCTTGCTATCGTGGCGTTGCTTTACACATCTCCCTTTTTAAATCCCTCGCTTTATAATTGTCTTAAATGCTAGTCAGCTGAATCTCCTTTCTTCCCTGCAATAAGATATGTGTAAAATCTTGTGATATAGTAAATAATATCTTGATTTACCATACCTCTCAATTTAATGTAATTTTTTCTTCAAGTTTGTTGTATCGATAGTCGACTATATTTATTAGGATTATTTATTATACCGGTTATTAAAGAAAGAGATTAGCACATGTTTAGCAACCGGGCAGGATTCAAACCTACGACCTCCTTGCAGTTATTGCTAGGAGCTTTCGCTTACCGCGTATACTAGATGCTCTATCACTGAGCTACCTGTGCATCAACTAATGTTTTCTCTTTTATTCATTTAGATCGTTCAATCCTCGCCTAAGCGTTTAAATGCTCTAGGTGAATCATTAATCGGTAACTCCGGTTTTCGGTTCAATTAACCAACTGTAACGGGAACAGGCCAACGCACCGAAAGGCCAACATACCGCAAAGCTATAACTCCGTTCAAAACGGTCGGATTTGGGATGCCCTGATATGGTTCGATTCAGCTCGTCGAGTCGCATCGAACCATACCAGGTGTCTAAGTTAAAGCTCTGCGGTTACCCAACTGTAACACCCCCTAGTATTTATCCCAACAAAAATTTTTTTTTAATTTTTTCAATTAAAAGTTTTTTTAAATTTATTGAGGCTAATTTTTAATTTAAATTGCTCTTCCCTCCTCTTTTTCTCAAATAATTTATTCCCTTCCCGTTATTATCTCTTTTAAATCGCCTCTCATTCCTTTTAATTTATTTGCCGTCTTGTCAATCTTGTTGTTGTTGAAATAAAAAAAAAAGAAAATTAAATAATGTGCCGAATATTTATTTATTTATCTGCCACCCATCTATTCAATTAAAAAAAGAAAAATATTTGACTTTAATTTATTTTCAATTGCCGCTATTTTCCCTCAAATAACTCAATAAAAAAAGATGTATAATTATTTAATTAATTTAATTTTCTAACAAAGTTTCTTTTGAAAAATTATTCAAAAAAAATTTTCCCTTTTTTTTTTATTTAATATTTTAAAGGTAGTCTTCATTCCCCTAAATCTATCTCAAGAAGCTATCAAACTTACATATAAAATAAACAATCTGATAATAAATCCTCAGTAGGAGTTTGGTATTTTTCACAACCCCGATCGTAACAGTCAAAAATTGTCTTTTGTTTTTGTACCAAGGTGTCTGTTTTGATTTGATGCTTGTAAAAACTAGGTTATTGAGAACGAGAATTTTTCGAGATCTCGATTCCCGTCCGATCTCTCTTCAAAAAATTATTTATAGCCCTTGAGGGAGTGGGCTCGAGACGAAACAGGGTATATTGAAAGTTCCCTTAATTTTCTTTTACTTTTCATTTAAATTTTCAATAAATTTTTAAATATATTAACGGTTAATGATTGAATTATTTACGGCCTAACAATATTTAATCGAGGTTAAAATAAGAGAGGGAAAGAAAAACAAGATTTAACGTAGCTGATAATAGGGGGTAACTAAAAACAAAAAATAAATATATTACCAAGAAATTATTTATTATTCAATGAACATAAGTTTATACCTTTCAATTACTAGACTTTTTTTTGATTAATTAATGTTTTTCTGAAAATAAAAAATATCTGAAAATTTGATAGTGGTTGGGTGAAAAATTTTTTTAAGTTGACAGAACGCCAAGAATTAATTTTGTTAATTTTCTATCGACTTTTGCTTTGCTATAAATGTTATAGTGACAGATTTTTTGGGAAACTTTATTTGGAACTTTGGAGTACAAAGAATGTTAAGTTTGAGAAAATATGTATTGTCAGAGTATCTCTGTTGGGGTATAAGTTACTAAGTTACGTATAGATGAGATCGGTATTTTCAAAAATCCTGGATCTGGGTTCTTGATCTGGATCCAGAAAAAATTCAGGACGATCCCTCTGGATCCAAGCAAAATCCAGACTGGATCCAGATCCAGACCGATCTCTAATATAGATACAGAATCTCACTTTTCCTAAATATTTATGGCTAACAAAAACAAAAAATTTTTTACTAAACAAGTCTTTAAAGGAAAAAATTTTTTAAGCTTCCTGTAACTTTAAAAATTACCAAACCAGTCCCCAACTTTTTTTCAATTTTCCAATTTTTTAAAATAATTTAAAAAATACAGTAATATTGTCATTCCTTTTCCTTCTGTTAAAAACTCTTAATTGACATTGAATTAACAACTACCTAAATTGTTGTTGATGGGCGGACCCTTTTTATTTAGTTGTTGTTATTTAATTCAAAGAAGAGTCTCTTTCTCTCATTGTGGTAGAAGATATATTTATCTAAATAGCTACTAATATTTACACTCTATTTACCCTCCTGCCACACAGTTTTTTTCCTCCTTTTAATTGTTCTATTTAACGGAGTGAGGAAAAAAGAAAAAATTAAATTTTTAAAAACCGAGGTTGAGGAGGACCTACAGATTTTGGTTATCTCTAGGCTCATATAGTCCCTTAAGGCTCTACTTTAGGGCATGCGTCCCATGAGCTTTTATGCGTCCCATGAACTTTTAAGCGTCCCATGAAGTTAAATAAATTTTAATTTAAATGTCTGTAGCCTTTTGGTCATCCAACCTCTGATCGTCTATTAGGGAGGCCTTCTATTAGAGTAGCATACTATAAATATCCGGGTACAGCCCAAGTAGGCGCGCGGCCAAGTAGGCGCAATGCCATAACTTGCTTCAAGATTTCCGAATCTTGTCAAATTTAGTGTTAAACGATTCCTCTCATCGTGCTAAAGAGATTGGTAACAAAATTATTAAGGTCCAGAAATTTTGCAGGTAGTTATGGCTTTGCGCCTAAATGGCCGCGCGCCTACTTGGGCGTGTCCCTAAATATCCTTTTTATTAGAGAGTACCCTTCTCTTCTATATTATCAACTTTGAGAGAGAGAAGGCACTCTCTATTAGAGAGTGCCTTTTTATTAGAATAAAAAGGCACTACCATAACCTTAGAATACCCATAACACCCATAACCTTAGCACTACCCATAACCTTACAGGTAAATTGCCATTGGGTAAATAATTAAAGATTAAAATAAATATTTTTTAATAATATTTTAGCATTAAACACCAAACAAAATTTAGTTAAAATTTATTTTTTCCACCTAAAAAATACATGGATTATACAACAAATCACCACCCCCAACAAAAACAATTTTCCCTTCAAAAAATTCATTTATTCCATCCAAACATTTCTGACAATTTTGACGACTTTACTTTCCAAAAATATATTTCAACTTCTGATTTTTGTGGATCAGATTTTTTGAAAAAAGAAAAGAGAAATTTATTAAAATTTAGTATTGAAAATATTTTACAGCCAGATTTTGGAATTTTAAATAATGTAAGTCGAAAAAGGGGAACGATTACTTGAGGGTGCTTTTTATTATAATTGTTATCTAAGTCCTCTGAAAATTTCGGATTTTTTTTGGTTAGGTTGGTTAGTAGAACTGTTCGAAACTCTTAGTCTTGAATCTTGAACTTTTCTTGGTTTTTTTTCGGTCTTGGTCTTGAGTCTTGGAAAATTTTCGGTCTCGGACAGCTCTATTAGTTAGGGCTTTAGGGTTATGGTAGAAAAGTAAAATTATCCAAAATATCATTTTTCAACAATTCAAACGTTAAAACTCCCTGTTATTTCAAGATACCATAAAACATGTATCACATATTTAAATAGTTTTTGAGAAGTTGAATAGGTTAAGGATTACCCATCACTAAAATAAGAAAAATTTGTATAGGCAAAGTTGCTATAGACGCTATAGGCATTGACTAACCACTTAAATAACCCCCTAATTATTTTAAATTCTTGTGCCAATCGGCCCTAAAACTTTAATATTTTTTTAATTTTCTTTAAGAAGAACGAAGAAATAAACATTAATTTAACAACAAATTTATCCCCCAAAAGTAATTTAAACAATAATGGCTGTTGCACAAACAAATGTAATGAATTCTTACCTCCCTGGATTTTCTGTACTCGTTATTCTGATAGACCCGGTTCAGGTCAGAAAATTTTAAAAATATTTAAAATAATTTTCAAAAAATTTGTAGCTTTAGGTTCTCGACTTAGAAAATCAAAGAAAAAAGATATTGGAGAGGAGGATAAAAGGCCGAGAACTGCGTTTACTGTAGAACAGGTGGGACACGCCAAAACGGCGCGCGGCTATAACGGCGCAAAGCCATAACTTGCTTCAAAATTTCCGAATCTTGCCAAATTTAGTATTAAACGATTTCGCCCGATGAGATTAGGAGAATGATACCAAAATTGTTAAGGGCCAAAATTTTCCAGAAAGTTATGGCTTTGCGCCGTTTTGGGCTGTACCCAGAACATGTGTGTTAGTACATTAGAGTCTTATTCTTGTCCCAAACTTTATGACAGTCTTAAGTTGTGATAAGTGGAAATTGGATTAAATAGAGGATCTGGGATATTTAGGAGATAACTTGGAATGAGAAATGGGATAAGTGAGGGCTTGGGATAAAATGTCACTTTTAACCAAAACAAAAAACTTTTAAATTTTTTAAGCTCGAACGACTAAAAGGCCAATTTATTGCCAATCGCTACTTAACTGAAAAAAGAAGACAAGAATTGGCACATGAATTGGGGCTAAATGAATCGCAAATTAAAATTTGGTTTCAGGTGAAGTTTAAAAAATTTTTCTCAATCCTCTTCTTTCCTCTCTCCGGCAAAATTCATTAAAACAATACTAACCTAGTCTGAGATTCGTCTGACACACAACAACCTAGTCTGAGATTCGAATGACAAAAAAAAGAGGCTTTTCAGCCTTTTGAACTTCAGTTAAACCTAAATAAAAATACACCATTGGGTGCTGGAAAGATTGACCTTATAATGAGCTTTCTCTTAAATAGGGGTGTAGTCAGCGGTGGAAAACTATATTTTAAAAAATGTACTTAGGATTAAAGGTACCCATTAGATTTATAACTAGAGGTCGGCAAAATCGCACTCACTGGATCCCGAACGGGATTTTTTTCAAAATTTTTTACGAGACAGGATCCCGCAGGATTAAGCCCGTAAATCCCGATAACCCCGTTGGTCCCTTAAGATACGGGATTTCGGGACAGGATCCCGTAAAATCCCGTACGGGATCCTTTCCCGTGCCGACCTCTATTTATACCCCCCAAACAGTGTTGAATATAAAAGTTTATCTTCTGGGTCTCCCCTTTTTACATGACAGTATTTTTGTCTTTCTCTTTAATTTATGCCCATTTACCGCTTGTCAGAATTACTTAACCTTTTTGCTAATCATTTATTATGTTTTTGTTGTCCCTCATTATTTGAAAATATATTTATTGGGAAATGAGCGCAGAAGAGGAAAAAAAATTTTTTTTGTAGTGATTTTATCTTTAAATAAATGGATTCTCTCTTAGTTTGGACAGATCGTTGCAAAAATACATAGAAAAAAAATTATTTACCTAATTAAAAATATATTTTGCCTAAAGAAAATAATAAATGAGGGAAATTAATGTTTTACGAGAGATTTTTAAATTAATATATAAATTCCAGAAGATCTACACGAAAACCCTTTAAAGATTACCTTGAAGGTCACCCTTTTAGTGGGATGTTTTGTTGTTTCCTGTTGTAACGCAATCAAGACAGACTCTAAAATCTAACGGGATATACCGACTTATCTGTCATACCAGTAACCTAGTGGCAGCTGTATATCCACAGATATCCGGATTCGATATCCGAAGTTTAGATAAACGGAATTTTTTCGAATCAGGACCCGCCAACCCTATCCCCAATCACAATTGCAACAAAATTTTGGAATTTAAGAATGCCATAAAGTTAGAAAATACTTTTTTTCTGAAGAACCAAATGGAAGAACCGAACCGATATTCGAACCGAAAAATCATCGGTTCTTCGGTTCGGTACGGAACCGACAACCCTACCGCCAACACGATCCCCAAGCACAATTAGCAATTCAGTAATTATTTCGTTCGGCCTTTCCTCTTACACGTACGACACTAATACTCCCGGTGCTTGTATTAAAGTACAAGCACAGAATTATTTCACGCCCAAACATCCCCCCTCTCGTTAACTACTCCCAATTCTATCAAATTCCTCTAAAATTCATTGGCCAATTTTCCAATTAAATTACTTTGCTATTCTCTCAATTAAATGGAAAAAAGAAGATTTTTTCCTTTCCCCTCATTTAATTTTAACGATAACAATCTATTTAAAATATTTACTAAAAAACTCTTAAAGGGTCGTCTTGTAATTATATTTTGTTTGACGGCGCCACCAAAGTAGTTTGTAAATAAATAAATACTTGTAGATTTGTTTTGGCGGATATGTAGAAGGGAAAAAATAAAGAGCGGCAAATATGCATTTAATTGTCATTTTAATAGAGGGAAAAATGGGAGAGTGATTGGGGGAAGGGAATTAATTAAATGATATCCCCAAAAGGAAGAGAAAGGGAATGTCTAATAAAGTCGGACCTCGAATGTATACCTGAAAATATACAGGGATGGACTAGCTTCCGATCCTACCATATGCCAGTGATGGGACCACTTCCGTCCTCCATCTTCGGCTTTTTAAAATACGTCAAAGCCCATCCCTTATATGTATTTATGGGTATTGTTTAGTCAGCCCTTCTTCGCACCCAGACCAATTAGTCTATTTAAAAATGTACAATATTCACTAGAGATCATTATTTTCAAAAATCCTGGATTTAGGTTAGTAACCTTGACAGGATTCTGGATCCAGGAAAAATCCAAACTGGATCCAGATTCAGACCAATCTCTAATATTCGCACTAGTGAGGATTAACTGATATTTTCTGATAAAAATTAATATCTTTAGTCATACCGATTAATTTGCAAATTTTTATTGTTTCTTTAATACAAGGGTGAAGTTTATAAAAAATAATTTTCCCAATTTTTCAGAATAAACGTGCAAAATTGAAAAAGTCAGTTCAGAGGGCACACCAAACATTTGCAACTCAAAGCATAAAATTGCAGAATAGAGAATTTTACAAACAAAGATGAATTCTGATTTAAAGAATATTAATAGAATAAAATTGTGCTATAATTTAAAAATGATCTCTTTTTTTATTTCTCATTATCTTTTTCATTCTTTTACAATTTACTAAACTAATCTACAGTTTAGAATAAAATACATAGTTATTTCTCTAAGTTTGCTATGGGGATATACCCCGATATACCGCAACCCCAGTAAACGCCAGCTATAACTTTGTTAAAAGTTGTCGAATCCGGGACGCCCTGATATTGTCTGATTCGGCTCGTCGAGCCGCATCCAACCATACCAGGGCTTCCCGGATTCAACAATTTTGAACGAAGTTATAGCCCAGCGGTATACTGGGCTTGCGGTATGGCTTGCTCCCGCTATGAGACCGTTTAAGGGCGTTGTTGAGATCAAAAAGAGTAAATAGAAAATGTAACTAAAAAATCTTTAAATAACCACAACGTTAATAAAAAAAAGTTTAATCTTGCAATTGTTATACACTCTGTCAGAAAATTATAAGCACCCTTTAGTTTTTGAATAAAAACATAGTTAAAGTTAAACTATCATAGTTTTAAATATTTTTAGGATTTTCTAGTGCATATTGAACAGAAAAAAACAATCATTGATAAATTAAATATGGATAGTAGAGAAAATAAATGAAATTTCGTTAAAACGACTGTCAGATAATTATAAGCACTCCTAAGGTTTCGACATTAGGGGTCGTCCAAAAAATCTACAAAAATTCCTGTGAACATATTTAGTGATGTGAATTAAAAATACAAAAGAAACTAAGTTCTAACATAACCCCTACATCGAAAGTCAAAAATACAAAAATCAACGGAAAACTGGGGGTAGACGTCTTTAAAAAATATTTTCGACCCCTTACAGGTGAAATAAAAATTTCATTTTGGGCTTATTTGAAAGCCCTTGAAATTTGCTACAAGTTAGCATTAATTTTATTTTTTGAAAAAAATTCACCTTTAAGACATAATGTGATTAACTTTCAGGTCATAAAAATCACTCAAAAGCCCCCCAAAAAGTAATAAAAATGTAACTTAAAAACTAATCTCATTATTTGTCGAAGAAGAATTTTTTCTGGATTATGAGATGAAAACTTTCCTGTAGCAAATTTCAAGGGCTTTCAAATAAGCCCAAAATGAAATTTTTATTTCACCTGTAAGGGGTCGAAAATATCTTTTAAAGACGTCTACCCCCTGTTTTCCGTTGATTTTCGAGTTTGTGGATCTTGATGTAGGGGTTATGTTAGAACTTAGTTTTTTTTGTATTTTCAATTGACATAACTAGGTATGCTTACATGAATTTTTGAAGATTTTTAGAACGACCCCTAATGCCGAAACTTAAGGGGTGCTTATAATTATCTGACAGTCGATTTTTTTAAAATACCAGTTATATCCCCTACTACCCATGACTAATCTATATCTTATTGTTTTTTCTTTCGAATAATGAATTAAAAATTCGCAAAAAATTTTAAAATTATTTTACTTTAAACTTAAATATGTTTTTACGTAAAAACTAAGGGGTGCTTATCATTTTCTGACAGAGTGTACTAGGATAGGACAAAGCCGGTTAACTGACCGGTTAATTTTTCCCTGTGGCGGGTCTTTTTCTCTTTCCTCTTCTCTTTTTGCCCCGCTACGGAAAAAAGTAACTGGTTGATTAACCTGCTTTGTCCTGCTCTAGTTTTTACTATGCTTTTTACTTTTTATTAGCTTACTTATTAATTAATTATTCACATTTACATATTAAATAGAACGAGAAAATTTAAAAAAAATTTTTGATTAATTAAACCTACAGTAACTGCTTGCTTGTTACAAGTGGCGCTGAAACGGCCGCTTAAAAATAATGTAATCGTTTTTGATTTTTTACTTTTAAAGTCTCAAGAATGTATTTTTTATTTTTGAATTATTTGTAGGGACCGGAGCGGGACCGGGTCTTTTTCCTGCCGTTTTTGAAGATGCCTGGATGAAACCGGGATCGGGAATTCCCGGTTTTCCTGGTCCGCGTCCTGGCCGGTTAATTTTAATTTTTCGGTTCCGGCTTTCAAAATTTCGCCCACTAGTTATTCTAATTAATTAAATTTTTAAAATTTGTTTTTGTTATTATTGAAAATTTATTTTTTAATTTATTTTTAGTTGTTATTTATTTTTTAAAAAATTTTCAAAAGGAAAAATGTCTCAAGAAAGTACAATGATTTGGTAAATTAATTTTTAAAAAATGGGTCAACCTTTAAGACACACACTGAAGTCCTATAAATTTTTAAGGGGAATATCGAGGATAAATACCAGCATTATGAAGATAAGTACTCAGTTCTGGCTTAGCCCTTGGAAGGGGTTTCAAGGACGATGCGGTTGATTACGGGGAGCAGATCTCACTAAATCCATCAATATCCCCTTAATCCCTCCAAATCCCTCGATATTTTTTTTCCAGATTTGTAGGTCTTCAAGGTCAATAGGTTTACTGGAATAGACTCTTAAAATTTTTTAAAAATTATTTTTCTAAAAGCATTGACAATTCTGAATGGATGCGTAATGGGGACCTTCCACCAACTCGCTTTAATTGTCAACAAGAGGCAGTCCGTGCTTTAGTTCATTACAAACTTCGAAGCAATCCGGAAAATGCTGTTGGGTTAATTTCTCTTGCAAAGTTTTTTTTTTGAAAATTTTAAGGAAAAATTATTTTTTTATTTTTAAGTCGTGTGGAGGTGTTAAACTCTTTATTGACCGATGATCGGAAATTAATGGTTCGCCTGCACAGTTTGGAAATTAACGTTAGTTTTTTGACGATTTGTTAAAGTTTATTGAGGATTTTTGTTGATTGTATTTATTTAATTCTCTGCTACTTTTCCGTTAGACCAGGGCTCGCATCGACAAAATGCCACTCAAAAGTATCAGAATCTCGATTAAAAAGTATATAGCCACGCCATTTTAGGACCCTGAGTATATAGCCCACGCCATTTTAGGACCCTGAAATCAACCCCCCTGGTTACGCCTTTAATTGGTTGTAACACTTGTTTACGGGAAAGTAAAATTAATGTGTTTGCAAAAAAAGTGAAAAAGTCAGCATATGAGGGCAGGAAAACGGAAAGGTAACAAAATTTTTAGGATGGTTATTTAGCGTAATGGATTGGGTGAAAATTTTCATCGCCAATAAAGGTCTTGGCGCCTTCAGCCCCGAAAATGCTCCCTACTTCGGGCCCCTCTGCCCTCCCTCCTTTCTGAAGATTTTTTCTGGCTACGTGCCTGATTTTAGCAAGAGTCGAAAACCAAAAAAATATTATACCTTTTAGGGTTCTACAAAAATCTTTCCTGGAGTAAAAACTGCTTATTTGGCTTTAAAACATCGTAAAATCCGCACTCACAAAATGCGTATAATTGTTTTTGTTGGAAGTCCATTGGATCAGCTTTTAACGGAGAAAGATTCGGTAATCGAGGTTTAATTAAATATTTTGGATAATTTTTGAGTGACTATAGGATTCCGGGGATAGAATTTTTGAATATCTTTCCAAAGTCTTGAACCACATTTCAAAGTAAAATCCTTAAATTTTTGTTTTGGGTTTCTTTTTGTGTTCCTAACATTTCCCGTCTAACTAGGGTTGCCAAAATGGCAAGGGCGTATCCAGGGGGGGGCTGGGGGGGGGCTAGAGCCCCCCCCCCCCGAAATGGGGGAAAGGGGGAAAAAATTACGAGAAGGGTGGTCGAAAAAGTGAAATTTTTTCGCCTACAACCCTCAAATTTTAAAAAATTTTCGCCTGCGGCGCAAAAAATGGAAGAAATCTAGCTTCTTGAGCTCCAAAATCCTCAAAATTTTCGCCTGCGGCGCAAAAAGAAGTGAATTTTTTCGCCTACGGCCTTCTAAAATTAAAAAAATTTTCGCCTGCGGCGCTGAAAAGATGTATAACAAAATTTGCGTTCGGAACGCCAAAAATTTTTGCGCCCACCCAGTGTTAGCCCCCCCCCCCCCCCGAAACCGACCCCCTGGATACGCCCTTGCAAAATGGTCCGGCTCAGACCGAAGGATCTAGTCGGGTATAAGATATTTGGCCCGAAGAAAACTTGTACGGCCCGACTCAATAAAAATGAAGCCCGAAAAAATGAAAAAAAACCATCGGCCCGACTCGAAAACGGCAATTCTATGTCTAACATTTTGTTCATCAATATTAAACGAACAACATGTTGGGGTTTTTCTCAAATGTTTTTTTCATCAGGTGTTTTTTCCTGTTTTTCCAACCTTTTATTAAGTATAGAATTTTTGGAATTTTTTTTGCCACAAATTTTTAAAGAAATTCTTAAGAATTTTGTTTAAAAAAATTTTTTTAATAATTTTTTCTAGTTTCTCAAATTCGCCAAAAAACTTAAAAAAGAAAAGGTTAATGCAGATTTTGTTCTTTTTGGTGAAGCTATGGCAGAAAATAACCAAATTGTTTCCGATTTTATTAATATATTGAATGGACCGTTAGTTTTTTTTATAAAATATTTCCTAAAGTTTTTTAAAGAGACGGCCAAGGCTCTCATCTTTTGGTTGTTCCAGCTGGAGACACTAAACTTTATGATGCAATACTTCGCTCGCCTATTTGTGAGGGTGGTGGGAATATTGGAGCTGGGGCTGATTTTGGTATTAATGAGGAGGATGATCCGGAATTGGCTATGGTATTATTTTAAAATGTTTTTGGAGGGTTTTTTGGCTGTTTAGTTGTTGTGTTTTGACTTGTTAAAATCTTTCTCTCTTGAATTTTTGTTTTATGAAATATTCCAAGTTTCGAAAAACATTTCAAGATTACTTTTGCGAATTTCGATACAAGTTCAGCCTTTTAAATTAAATCGAGAAACCATCAAAAATTAGGAAATGGGGGCGAATTGAACGTAACTTTTATTTCGGGTGGATGGTTATTGTTAGGCGCTTCAGTTTGGTATTTTGATGGGTTTTGGAGTTCTGAAGGGATGGCTGGCTCTCGCTTTCCAAGCTCTGGCTTTCGTCTCGCTCTCTCTTCTTCTCTCTCACAACCATTTTTCGTATTTTATTACTATTTTAGAATAAAAAATATCTGGAAACACCCCAAAGCAATTCATTCCCTTAATTTTCTTCATTTTTAGGCACTTCGAATCTCGTTGGAAGAGCAGCGTGTCAGACAACAAGGAGGAGGGGATGCTCCCCCACAAGTTGAAGAACAACCTCAACAGGAAGAAGATAATGCAATGGATGTTGGAGAAGAAAGAGGGGATGAAGGAGGTTCAAAGAAGACTGCTGATGTTGTTGAAAAGTCTCAAGTTCCGCCAATTAATTTTGAAGAGATGACAGAAGAAGAACAAATGGCTTATGCTCTTCGAATGTCTGTTGAACATGGTTAGTGTATTTTGAAAGCTAATAGATAGACAGACTATAGTGACAAAACATTCATAGGACTCTTGATTAAGAGTTTACTTTTTGCTATGGTTGTTCACTTCCCGATATCTCCCGGTTTTGATTAGTCCTAACTTTAAAACCCCAATTTTTGGTTTTGAGTTTCAGTTAAATGACGATTGTATTTTATGTCGAAGATTATTTAAAAAATCACTCATTTTCAGTTTTGGCAAGGAAAATCAAAATTTTAGTATTTAAATCGGTCTTAAACAACCCTAGTTTTTAAAATCTTTAGTTTGAGATGCTTTCCCTATTTCTTCAAAGAAGCAATAGGGATTCTTTATAAATTTTCACTTATTAATTTTCAGCTACTGAAAGTCAACAACCTAGCCGTTCCCGTTCTCCATCAATGGCAACACCTGCACCAACACCAATGGAAACTGAAGAAGAAGGAGGTGGAGGACAAAAAGTTGCTGGAGCTGGTGTTGTTGGGGATTTGTTGAATGATCCGGTTTGTTTTTTTGAAAATTTTGGAGGGTTATATTAGGCTATGTGCTTGGTATAAAAAGGCTGAGATTTAAAATTCTCTTAAGCGGCATCCGAAAAGTTTTGAGAATTTTGAGAGGCCGTAGGGAGGAATTTTTGTGATTTGAGAATTATGAGGGGGCGGGTCAGGGGCTTCAAAGGTGTAGAAAATGTTTTAAAAGACGGATCCATTCCCATAAAAATTTTTCTTAGAATCTAATTTTAGGCTCGTCTACAACAATTGGTTGATCAAAGAGGTAAACAATCCCAAGAGGTTAAAGTAACACAATATCCAAATTCTGATAAGAAAACTGACAAAAGTGCTGGGTCATCTAAAGAAGACAAGGATAAACAGAAAAAATGAGAATTTTATGTGATGATTGGATAATTTGACTTTTTGTGTTGCTATTCTATTAGTGTGTAACTTAAAATTAAAAAATTTTCTTTTGGCGATTTTTATTAAGCATTTTTGAAGGATTATAAAATGCATTGAAAACATTATTAGGATTGGAAGTTGAGAAACTTTTGAAGTTTTTTAATGCTTCGCTTTGTATACCGTAAATGCACGAATAATTACCCTCTCAAATAATTACCCTCTCAAATAATTACCTCATCTAGCAAAAGGTTGAAGCAATAATTACCCAGTCTAACTATTCAAACATTTACGGTATCTTGGTTTCTTGAAAATAATGGGGAAAGGTTAATAAGGTCAATTCGTCAAAATCTCGCATATTCCTCTGAAATTAAATTTGCCTAGATATTCAAAAATAGAATAACCCCAAAGCTAGCAATTCTAAAAATCTAAACACCAAAAGCCTAACAACATATTAATTCGAGATACAAAAATTACAATTTTTGGTATAGAAAAAGCATTGCAAAATCACTTAAAAATAAAAAAATAAGCAAATGAAAATCATTTCAATCGTTCTTTCATCCAATTAGTAACAAATGTTGAACTGAAAAATAAAAAATCTTGTTTAAAAAATTGAAAAGGGAAGTTAATAACCTTCCAAAAAATCATTTCCTCAACACACATTGCGCATCATCAACGTGAACGAGAGCGTGATCGTGAGTATGAACGTCCTCCACCACCGCCACCACGACGTTGATATGGCGAGCGAGATCTGTATATTTTTGTGAAGAGAAGTTGAGAGAATTTTTGTCTTTTTTTGTTTAAATATATCTGATTTAAAGTTGCGGATGAGGAGCTGGTGATGACTCACAAAACACACAAAAAGAGATGAATAAAGGAGACAAGGAAATTTCCAAAAAAAATTTTCTTAATTTTTTTCTATCCGGCATTTGCTAATGCTGAGCCGAATTTTTTTAATTTTGGGTGATCAGATTGAGAGAATGTTGGATTGTTTGGGTTGAGATGAGGTTGAAAAGATGGTTGGTTGATGGTGAGATGTTTGGGTGGTTGTGTGTGTGTTGCTGAAAACAGCACTCCTCAAGTTTTTAAGATATTTTGGGGATTTTTGATTTTTAACCAGTTAATTTGATAATATTTTAACTGAAAAAGATTTGTACGCAAGTGCGGACAAATATTTTTTAATCCGCAATTAAGTAACAAAAGAAAGCTAATATTCCAAAAAATAAAAAAAATCCCAAAGCTAATATAATAAGCTTCCTGGAATTTGATTTCCAAACGTTGTCTTTAAATTAACCACCTATAGGAGATCCCAATAAGGTTGTCGAACCGAACAAAGCAAAAAATCAGGATTTTTAGGATATCCCAAAACTCGGATCGATCCGGATCAATCAAACGAAAAAAGTGACACAGACCAAACCATAAAACAACCCTCCCAATAATAAAAACAAAAAATTCCTAGTCTAATCCAGACAGAAATATTCGGTAAAAATTTCAGTTAAAATATAAACCTTGAACGGTCACGGTCCCGGTCGCGATCATGCCGATCGCGAGATCGATCACGATATCCTCTCCCTCCTCCTCCACCACCGCCATATCCACCACCTCCACCGCCACCACGGAAGCCTCCTCGTCCCCCTCCACTAGGTCGTCCAGAAGCACTAACAGAAAGTTCGACTCTTGCTTTAACTCCACAAATGCGTCTAAATTAGAATTTTAAAAATAAAATCAGGGTTAAAAGAAATTTAACAAACGTTCCATCCATTGAACGTACAGCATCCTCCGCATCTCGATGATCATCAAATTCTACGAAAGCAAAGCCTGGAGGACGACGGGCAACCCAAATTTTACGAATTCGTCCAAATTTATGGAAAGCATCGTCCAACTAGAGGAGATTAAATTTTTAAAAGGGAAAGTATTTAAATTGGAGAACCTCTTCGGAGGTGGCATCTTCAGGTAAACCGCCAACATAGACTTTCCCTTCTACAAAACCACCACGACGGTTGGACATTTTATAATTTAATTAATTGCTGTGAATCTAAACTTTAAGAATGACTCATCACCAGGAAAAAAAGTTTCAACATTAGAGAAAAGTGTAGGGGTAATTTAGTCGCCAATTTAGAGAGTAGGACAAAAATAGGACAATTCAAAGGGTGCTGTGTAATTTCACAGTGTGATTTCGGCAGTGATTTAAATAGGTAGTAAATGCTTTAAAAAATAGATTTTTATGCAAAAACAATTTGAGAAACAACTGAAAGTCGATAGAAAAAATAATTTAGGGTCGACTGAGAGCGGACAACTCAGTGTCCGTATAAAACGGCCAATTCATTGCCAGTGCATTTTTACTACGGTTGAACCATCGCTAGAGCAACTTCCTAATTGTTGTTAATGAGACGATTTCCTGACTACAACGATTTCCCACTAAATTATATCAGCATAAGAAAAAGAATGCTCCCAAACACGGTTAGACACGATTCCGCGCCCACGTTTCCGCCCCAGTTCTGAAAATTAGTTTCCTGGCATTTTTTTGTCAGAAGAGGGAAAACGGAGGATGATCCAATAGGAGGATCAATCCAATACTTATGTAAGTTCTGCAAATCTTTGTGTTTTTCAAATATTGTATTAGATCGAAGATTCTCGTCTGCCTGGATTTTAGCTTAGTTGTGATCTCGGAACCGTCACACTAACTTAGATAGCAAAACAAAAGGAAGGAAATAAAACAAAATGCCCAACAGGGGTTTTAAAAATTAATTTAATTAAAAATTAAAAATCAATTTTTAAAATTTTAAAAAAGGTCAAAGTCAATCTTAATTAATCAATTAAATTTTAAGGAAGTTATTATTATATTACCACGAGGGATTTTGGTTAATGACTTTGCCATATCAAGCCATTATTAAAAGCGCTTTCAATCGTTAAGCTACGCTTACGAAAAAAGAAACGCTCGCTCTTCCAAGGAAAAGATTTTGGGAAATGAGGAGAGAAAACACTTGCTTACTTAAACTGCGTCTTCCGCCTGCGTCTTGCATTTTTATGTAAGCGTAACGAATAATGCGATCTATTTATTAAATCCCTCCCCAAAAAAGGCCATATATAAGGGGAGAATATAAACAATTACAAACACTTACAAACTTCCCCTTTCACAAACTTAATTTTAAAACTGCTTAAACTACCCAAGCGATACTTTTTATTACCCTATCACTAGTAGAAAGCAATAAAAGAAGGATAAATATTGTAAAGCATATGTATTTAGTTTCTAAGGCTATTTAATTAGGAATGTAAGGTTGATTCACCCAGCAGCATTTAAAACGTTTAGGTTGGGGGTTAAACGATCTAAAAAGGAAAAAGAGAAGGCATTAATCGATGCCTCGGTAGCTTAATTGTAGAGCTCCTTTTTGTAGTGAGCGAAAGCGCCTAGCAACAACTAGCAGGTGGTCGCAGGTTCGAAGCCTGACCGGTGGCTAAACTTTTGCAAACTCTTTCTGGAATTAGCTATTTAATTCCTAAGGCTGTGCAGTAGGCGGCGTGGTGTAATGGATAACACATTACCGTATAGCCTGTATTAATTGCCCTCCCTCAAATAATTACCCCACTTCTATTAATTACCCCATCCAGTGATACATTGAAACAATAATTACCCTCTCAGAAATGCCCTAAAACACGTTCAAATTTAAAACCTCGTATAATTACCCTCCCTCGATTAATTACTCCCTCCAGCGGAAGGTCGAAACAATAATTACCCAGGGTAGTTATTAAAGGATATACGGTAGTCCGGTCAACCGAAGATGTTGGTTCGCACCCAGCCGCCGAATAACTCAGCTCAGCAACACATCCAAATACATTTTTTCTTGTTTAAAAGAATGTGAAATGACACAAAAACATTATAAAAGGATAAAAATGGCAACATGACATTTTTTGAAGATAAAAAATTCATCGGGCTCAAAATGGTCAAAAATCATAGGAGCGATTTTGAGTCAATAATTCGAAAAAGCAAATAATAGCTCATTCAAAAGAGCTCGTCGAGCTGAGTCGAATGGCACCAAAATCAACGAAATCTAGCTTGCTTGACAAAGTTATGACTGTTTGTTTTAACCCCTCACATAAGGTTTTCGCAGAAAAAAGTTTTTGCCGCTGCGGAGAAAGCCGGGCATGTCGAGCGGAACGACGGCCGCCGCTTGCCCTTTTTCCTATATTTGAATATTATTTAACATTTTAAAAATTGTGAATGGGTGACGGAAGGACTGGTGGCCTTGATTTATTCTTTTATCTTTAATTAATCTCTTTTGGAATAAAAATAGTGAGAATTAATTTTAGATTTTCAAAAATTATTTTTTAAAAATCCTTCCCATAAAAATGAATTATTTCTCAATTTTTTTGTTCTTCATTTCGTTTTATTTTGTTTATTCTGGAGATGAATGGAATCAAGAAAATATTAATAAAATAATGAGACAATATTATGAGCAAGGAAAACAACAAGGACAATGTTAGTGTAATAATTTAATTAAAATTTTGGTTTCCCTCGCCGTTTGTAGTATTAAACGGTCACTGGCTCTGTTCGCTATCTTTAACTAATTTATAGAGTCTATTTTGGTAATAAATAATAATCAACATAATCTGTAAATGTCTGTTGGGGGTAGTGTTGGGCAAACGCGATTTTGCGGTATCGGTATTTTCGGTAAAATACCGATACCGAAAAATACCGCAGTAATACGGTACCGTGACCAACTCTAGTTGGGGGTTTATGGGTAAAAACTGCCAAGATTTTTTTTACTAATTTTTAAATTAAAAAATTTTACTTTAAAGATATACTGGATCAGAATATAAACTATCATCGTATGTACATAAATATTAAATTTAAATATTAAATTTTAGACTTTAAAACTTTTTGTTTCATTTATTTTTGAATAATTTCTAAAATATATTCATTAAAAATCCACTTTTTCTGCCATAATCTCTGAAATATTTAATTTTTAATTCTTTTCCGAAATTAAAAGTAAGCCGAATATTTGATTAAATTTGTTTATTTTGTTTGCAAAAAAATTCGGAGTAGGTTGAAGACAGAAAAACTTTTAAGGTTAAATATTAAAAATGAGAAGAAGTTGCCACTCTCATTTTTTAATTATAACTCAACAATTAATTTTTAAAATTTAATTAATTAAAAAATTTTTTTTTATAATTTTAAACTTTACAGAAGGAAATGTAAGGTATCATTCAAATGATGGTCGTTTAGAAGGTGGTAATTATCAAAAGACTGAAAAAAACAAGAAGGAACGAATAGCTATGAATTTGAATTTGAACGAACCGGCTCCACAATATGAAGAACAATCCAGTTCAAGTTTTAATCACTCAAACGCCGGAGGATTCCAAAGTTGGACACCTTTGACTTATGAACAACCATCTAATCCACACTTCAATCACTCAAACACTGGTGGATTCCAGACTTGGACACCTTTGACTTATGAACAACCATCTAATCCACGTTTTAATCACTCAAACACTGGCGGATTCCAGACTTGGTCACATCAGGGGTCGACTTATGAACAGCCATCTTAACCAAGTTTTAATCATTCAAAAAAGAAAGGGGCATTTAAGAAATGGATAAAAGGGCGAAAGTAAATAATTGAAGCTGTTATTTTTTGTGGTTCGTATCAGGGTTGTTCACTACCGGTTATTAAATGACAACTACTATTTTCGGTTAATTCAAATTTTAAAACACCTGTTTTCTGCTTTGTGTTTTAGTTAAATAGCGAGTTGATTTTGAAGGAATTTCTAGGGAAACACATTTCAAAAATTTTTGGTTTTTAAAACGTATTTTTCCTAATAGTGTGACTATCTTTATTAGACCGACTGTCTCTATTAAACCGACCCTTTCCATCGATAGTTTTCTAAATGAGGTTTTTCCTTTTTCAGCGCCGAAGGAAAAAATTTTTTTTATAGAGAATGGTTGAAAAATAAACCGGCCGTATTAGGAAAAATACGGCATTTCATAAAACCGACTAATTTGTGGAAAGAAATATCAAAATTTTTAGGTTTTCAAATCTGAACAACCCTACTTTGTATTTAAAAGTGAAGGGGTATTTTAATTCGAGGGGGTTGCTTATGCAGACCAGAGGTTGGCCGGAACAGTCAGAAGTGTCGGAAATCGGAATTCCGACCCACCTCTGATGCAGACCCCTTACCGAGTGTCCAACCAATTTTTATTTATTTTTATGCCTCAATTCTCCCTTTACATTAGAGATCGGAGACGATACAATATATCATTTAAAGATATCGTTTATCGATACCGACTATTTATGGAGGTAGATCAAAAGGTTTTCCAATACCAATTTCGATATTTTTAATGGAATCGGAACTTTTTGTCTACCGGAACCTGACCCGCAATGAGAATAAAATGATAACAATATCGTTTATCGATCTCTAATACCTTTGGTAAACACGGAGGTTTTTGCACAATTTTTTTGTTTACAATGCTCTGAATTTTTTAAAAGATTTTTTAACTGAAAATTTAAAATTTTAAAATACTATAGTGTTTTGCGAGCTTGTAAAATTTTTTTGTTGTGCATTAACCTTTCTCCTTTTTATTTAATTCACTCCCCCCATTATTTAAAGTTATTCCCCAATTATCCCCCACCGCCTTCCATATTTTAAATTCCTCTGTTTATTTTCATGCTTTTGTGGGCATTTTATTTATTTTGGTTTTTAAAATTTGTATAAACCTTTTGGGTAAATTTGTTTTTATTTTACATCAAAAATTGTTTTATAAACAGTCGCAAAACATAGAAAATATTTCGGCTCAGATCGTGGAGACGAACAGAATGGTGTTTGTTTGTATCGAAATTTTGCCTCAGGTATGCCGCACTATTTCTCTTTTTTACCAGAGTAAAACCGCCCCTACCAGGGCTGTGCGCCAAAATTTCCGCGTGGCGCGCCAAACGCCAAACGCCAATTTTTTAAATTTTAAAAACACGCCAAACGCCAAAAATCGGCCAAAATCAACGCCAAAACGCCAAAATTTTTAGAGTCTATAAAGACTTAAAAACCACTGTTCATTTCATTTTAGCGCCGCAGGCGAAATTTTTTGAATTTTCAAGATTCCCAGAAGCCAGAATTCATCCTTTTTTTGCCGCCGGAGCGAAATTTTTGAGAATTTTGGAGGCAAAGATGCCGAAATTCATCCTTTAAAAAATTTAAAAAAATAAAAAATTCATAGAACTCCTTGAGATTAAGGTGGATATGAAGGGATAAAGTGAGTAATGAGTATAACAGAGGTCATGAAGAGAGTAAACGATTGACAGGACTAAAGTTTTTTTCTACCATCTATTAGTTTAAAATCCTCCTTTAAGCGCCGAAGGCGAAAATTTTGAAAATTTTGGAAGTCCAAGCAGTAGATTTATTCATTTTTTATGCGCCGCAGGCGAAAATTTTGAGAATTTTGGATGACTGTAGGCAGAAAAATTTCCTTTTTCGATCATCCCTTTCTCCATTTATTTCAAAAATTTCCATCATTAGGGGTGTATATTTTTGGCGTTTGGCGCGCCAAAATCGGAAAATCACGCCAAACGCAAAACGCCAAAAATCGGCCAAAATTAACGCCAAAACGCCAAACGCCATGACGCACAGCCCTGGCCCCTACTAATCAGGAAAAAGGCGTCTGGATCCGGTTCAGTCCAAACTTTTATTTCTGGATTAAGAAACTAATTTTGCCGTGTGGCCGATTCAGATTACGCAAAAAAGTGTTGATTCAGATCTCTGTCTCCCAGAACAGGCTGGTCGCAACTGAGAAAATTTTTTCGAAGCTGCAATCCGCAAGTTCAAAAAACATGCAATCCGCATTTGCTTTCAGCCCTGCTCCCAAAACTAGGCACCTTCAGCTAAAATAGCTTAAAACGCTCGTCCCTGTTGAGATAATGCTGTAGTAAATTGTTTAGTTGATTATTTATTCCTAAGTTTTCTTATTTTGGTATTCAACCCGTGATTGTTTTTGATCATTCGACTCCGCTTGAAGGGCCCTTTTAATCTTTAAATAAATTGGCTTGAAGTTAAAACTGCCGAAATAATTTTTAAAAATAATTTTGACTTTGCCATTGATTTTTAGTTGGATTTTTTTTATTAAATGAGTCTTGTTTAAAAGGCAATTTTACTAATTTCTTTGATTTTTGAGGAAAAATCGAAGAAATCGGAGAGATTGAGACATTTTTGAAGAGGAAAATTCTCTAAAATAATTTTTATTAAGTGGATGGATAAAGAAAATTGAAAAAAATTTTAAAGACAAAGGAAAGCATGTGGGGGGAATTGACGTAAATAAATATTAAAATAAGCAAAAATTTTGTAATATAAATATTCCCTCCATCTAAGGGGCGAAAGTAAATATTTTTAAAATCTTCAATTAATTGCCAAAGTCCCCACTAAAAATTGTAAGGCCAGCCAAGTTTCCTTTTAACTCTAGCTGATAAAACAAAAACTTCTCTACTAGGTAGTGCGGTGTCCTTGTTCAAAAGGCTCTCAGGTCACAAAATCTGATCCGCAGAGGTTTTGAATAGCCCTTCAAATGGAAAAATACTTATTCTATAGACTTCCGCTATAGGAATATTAATTAAAAATTTCTAAAACTGTGAGTGGATTGAGCAAAAAATAAATGGGAATATCTATCTAAATATAATCTAAAAAAGGGAGGAGTACATAGTATATTTTGTAAATATTGAAAATTAAGTTTAGATTTTCAAAAAAATTATTTTTAAAAAAATCCTCCCCATAAAAATGAACTATTTCTCCATTTTTTTGTTCTTCCTTTCATTTTATTTTGTTTATTCTGGAGATGAATTGAATCCTGGATACTTCGCAGAATTAATGAAAAAATCTCAAGAAGCTGAAAATCAAAAACGTTAATAATTTTAATTTTATTAAAATTTTGGTTGCCCTCAACATTTTCTGACACAGTAAATACCGTCGGTAGTAGGTCTGGTGTCTATTAAATAATATCACAACTTAATATAAGGTATAAAATACTTAATTAGCGTTAGTAAATGTTGGGGAGTTTATGTTGTAAAAACTAATAAAAACTACAAAAAAAATAATTTTTTTTTTAATTTCCAGTTGCTCGTTTACTTGATCCAAATGCTAGTTATCATGGTATGAAAAATTAAACTCATATATTCATTGCTATTACGAATTAAACACTTAAAACTGCCATTTCAGATCAAAAATTTACATTTCCCCAAATATTAAACTTAAAAAAACAAAATTTTCTCGTAGCTTTATATGATCATATTTAACTGTTTAGATAGAATTTTATAGTTTATAAGGATTTGAAGAGCCTAAGAACGTATATTCTAACATCTCTTCATCAGTAAATTCTTAATTATTTAAGGAGGCCTAAGAAAATTCGAGTTAAATAATGGTCATTATGAAGGTAGTAATCTCGAAATGTCCAATAATTTTGCAAAATTCGTTGCACCAAGACCCAAACCAGAATCATCCAAATCAGTGCCAGAAACAAAGAAAACAGAAAGGAAGTCGGCATTCAAGCCTTGGACAAGAGGAGGAAATTAAATAATTAAAAATGTGTACAACCTTCCTCACCTATTCAAACATTTTAAGGGTTAAATATTATCATTAAACGGATCTTTAATTTTAGATAAATTACTAATATAGTAAATATTAAAGATCGGACCGAGACGGGATCTGAGCTACAGATACGGAAACGATTTTTTTTCTGATCCGTCCATGATGGATTTGCCCCCAGATGGGTATATTTCTTGCGTTTTTTGCGTTAGTTTTGACCAAATTTACGCAAAACACAACACTAGGCTAAAATTTAAGGCAAATAACGTGATGCGCCCGCACCTGATATAGATCTCGATTCTCGTATGATTTCTAGTAGGGTTTCGCCCCGACCCCGAACCCCGACATTATTTTCAGCCCCGACCCCGACAATTTGAGCAACCCCGACCCCGACTTTGTCAACCCCGAAGGCTCGGGGCGCAACCCTAATTTCTAGTAATTAATATTTATTTTTAGTTTTTCTTTTAAATTGAAAAGTCGTTTGATGATAATATCAAAATGTTTATTTATCCATAGGTCTGAAAATAAATAGATAACGGTATAAAACTAAAATTAATTAAGGCAATTCTGTGAAAAAGAAATTTACCCCTTACAAAAACCCCAAAGCTAATTAGTATTTCAGATTTTAAATTATTTGGCACATTAAACGGTTGATCAGAGACGTACACAATTCGTTCTACGTTATTTTCTTACTTTTTGACCTTGCATTTTGCTATATTAAAATGACATTATTAAAATACCAAAACATTTTCTCAAACGTTTAAAGAGTAAAAAGTCGAAAATTATAAATTAATAATGTCATTATAAGTAGAGATCGGCATGGGGCGGAATCCCGCACGGGATTTTACGGGATCCTGCTCCGGAATCCCGGGTTTTGCGCGGAAAACGAGATTACCGGGCTTTACAAGATTAATCCCGCGGGATCCCGCCCCGTATAAAATGTTGAAAAAATCACGTTACGGGATTCATGGAATGCGATTTTACCGATCTCTAATTATAATACAAGTTTTACGATATTGGAACTAAGAGTTC